ACCCCTGAGTCCTGTCAAAACTTCTGTATCTATATCTATCTGATGTAACACTCAGGGACAGTTTGGCATAATGGAGTAGAGGGAACAGATGAAGGTACAGTGGATTTATAGAACCATATTGACTACATGGTTCCCTCTGTATTTATAGTTACTTTAGCTCCATAAACCATGTGACTTAAATTTGACATGATTAGAAGTGAAAATGGGACTCTGGAAACAGTCACTGTAGTAGTCATTGTTTTAATTAGCAAAATACAAATATTGCTTTTAGTCCAAGCTAAGTGTACTATAGGACATCTTGGTGGGCCTTTTAAGAAAATGAGGCAGAGAGTACTCAGATTCCAGCAATACTCAGCAAGCTGAGACTGCTTATTAGAACAGAGAGAATGAATGTTACCTCCTCCCTCCCTGCCCCCCAGCTATCAGGAAGTTCCAGCTGTCTTTACGGTCTACCTGGGAGCTGGCTGAGTTGTTTTCCATACCAGGTTTTCTGCAGGTGGAGGGGATGGTAAGGCTGGGGTTAAACAATTCCTCAATAGCCTGGGGTTATCTCCCAATACAGCCTGACTCAATTCCTCCTGGCCTGAGAATATTACCTAACTCTTCTGACTCAGGAGGTAAAGGGGAAAAGGACAGGGGTCATAGTTTCTGGGAGGCTGCTTTCTTGGAGGCCTTAGAATCTAGGGGGTGGCTGTGATGGTCTCAAAGGTTGTGGGGCACATTGACTCTTCCAGGTTGTATAAAGCCTGATACCCTTCTGCCATGAAGAGTTTGGTGACCCCCTGGGTAGTATAAACTTAGTCTTTGTTGGAGGAACTTGGTGAAACAGCTAAAAAGGCAAGGACCAAAGAATTAAGTTGTAAAATCTGAACAGTTGGGCCTGCCATGTGGTTCAGGTATCTTTCCAGAAGTATTTTCCCCCTACCTTTTTCTTTCTAATAATGAATTGTCTAGCATTTTCCCATAATAGGCTGGATTGGTGCATGTATTTTTCCAGCACTCTTCCCCTAGGAAGACATAGATGCCTCCATTTCAGCAGTCATAGCTAGTTCTCTGCTGGCTGGGAGGACCACTGTAGCCAGGGATTCTATTTGATTTTGTAAGCTGACTATACCTTGTTGTACGCCTGTCAGGTTTCCCCTAATCTAATTGGTCAGTTGTCTGTGTTGTACCTGTTGGAGCCCTATCACTGCTGTGCTAGTGGCTGATGTTCCTGCTAGGTCCGTCCCCAGGAGGTCAGGGTTGTTATGGACAAGACACTGATAGACTTAACATCCCGGAAACATCTTAAGTCCAGGGTGAGGAAGACTGGCAGGTTTCCCTCTTGGTTAGCAAGTGTATGTTATTGCTGTCTTGATGTGCCGATAAGTCCCATTTGGTGCCCTTGCCTTGGGAACCAAGTGGGTATAATTTGTTTCCTGTCCTGAATTCATTTGGCCTCTCCAGCTATCTGAATCAGGGGGTACTGCTAAGCACAGTTGCCTGGCTGTTCTGTGCTAGGTTGGTTACCTACCCCAGTGTATATCGTTTGGCTGCCCTCAAACAGATCCAGCAACTCTTCCCTAGCTCTGGGTCATGCACAGCAAGGCATGGCTGGAATTCTCCAGTGCTACCATTTTTTTATGAGAGGAGTATTGAGATTAAAGAAGGGGTGACTATCATTGTGGTGTCTAGGTCTTGGATGTTTGTACTCACAGGAGCAGAAACTAGAGACAATTGTAAAAGTTTGGAGGAGGCCCTTTGCCCATGGATGTATAATCTAAATTTGAAGTTGTGGGTACCCCATGTGGATTCTTTTCCTGATCAGCTCCCAAATATGTCACACTGATGACACCCCCTACTTCCTGTATAGGACTCAACTCCCTATCCCTTTGAGGGTGCCTCTCCCATGCTCCTGGGCCAGCAAAATCAACATCAGAGTATTTGAGGAAGGACTAGTAGGTATCTCCCCATCCATTTTATGTTTTCAAGGGATTGTAGGTAGCCATATTGAGCAGTCAGTCCTAGAGTTTATGCTATAAGGGTTTATTATAACTTGAGCTTGTTTAGGGTAGGAGGTGGGAATCCCTGTCCGCTGGAAGGAAAATTTGCAGGGCTCTTGTTGAGGACAGTTAGTCATATTGATTGGGATCCCAGAACTGGGTGGCCCATAGAGAGTAAGGCTGCCCAAGTTCATGGTAATTATCCAGTCACAAAAGGGGAGGAGTGGGAGGAGGCTGCAGATCAGAAGGGGGTTGTAGGCTTTGAGGGGTCTGGGCTGGAAAGGCAGATAAGCAAGCCATATAGTGTTGCAGAGAACATGCTCATCTGGTAGGGAGTGAGGGGCTGAAATGTTCCTTGTAAACCAAGGCTAAACTGGGATGGTCTGCATTGGGCCCAGTGCCAGCAATATGTTTTCCTGTGTTGCATCCAGGAAAAGCAGAACTTGGAATGTACTCAGGGGTATCTGGGATATGGAGTGGACAAAGATGTTGGTGGTTATTCCTCAGTGATTAATGGGAACTGCAGAGCCTGTCTGCTATGAACTTGGTAGGGCTTAGAGGTGAGGAATTAAACACCTTGACCAAAAAGCAAGTTGGGGAGGGAAGGGCTTATTCGGCTTACACTTCTACATCATAGTTCATAATTAAAGTCAGGGCAGGGACTCAAAAAGGGAAGGAATCTGGAGGCAGGAGCTGATGCAGAGACCATAGAGGGGTGCTTTTTACTGGCTTGCTTCCCATGGCATGCTCAGCTTGTTTCTTATAGGACCACCAACCTAACCAGGGATAGCAACACCCACAATGTCCCCTTCCCCCACATTGGTCACTAATTGAGAAAATGCTGTATTTCATGGAGGATTTCCTTCACTAAGACTCCTTCTCTGGTGACTCTAGCTTGTGTCAGGTTGACACAAAACTGTATGGGGGGGAGGGGGAGACAGTACAACGGGATGGGGGGTTGGGTGGGAACAATGGTCTGTCTGATTGATCTTCAGGGGCTCTGGACCAAGTGATAAGAACCACTGCGTTTTTTCTTTTTAGTCTAAAATTGAGAATAGGAGTGTTGTAATGAGAACTAGAGGATTGTTAAAAGAGCTGTTTGTAGTAGTCACTCCAGGCTTAAGACCATAGTGGGTGGTGGGAGCGAGAGGATAATTAGTCCTGGATGACAAAAGCAGATAGGTCTTTCCAGGTTATAAAAACAGGATCATTATGGTTAGTTGTTGCGGGGTTTGACGTGTGTCCCAGACTAGACTAGAGGCTATGGGTGGACCAAAGGATACGCTGAGAAATGTTGGGGGGGGGGAAGGGGTTGCGGGTGTGACCCGACAGACCGTCCATCATCCTTTAGCCCCATTGTCTGCAGCTCAGACAAGCCTTGGGAGTGTCGCCCTGGGTTAAGGGCATTCCTTAGCGCAATGGTCAGCTTGATCGCAGCTAAAACAATGCAAGGCGCCCTCATACAGCGTGGTGCAGTGCAGAACCCTAGTGCAGCAACGTTGCTTGGCGCGGCACCCTCTCGTGGTCCCTATTCCGCTGTGGAACTGTCCCTCCCCTTTCGCGGAGCCTTCCTTTACTGGCGCTGCAGCCCTGCGCGTGGCCAGGATCGCTCACATCCCTGATCGCACCGCCCCTTGTGCTGAGCTCTGGCTTGTGCCGCACCCTTGCTCGGAAACCTCCAAACCCTCTCCTTGCTCAGAGGCCTCACACGGCACAGTCGCGCGGCTTGGATCGCGGAATCCTCCGAATCCTTCCCTTTCCTTACAGCCCTCACACGGCACAGTCGCAGATCGCAAAACTCTCAGAATTCTCCCTTTTCGTACGGCCCAGATCGCGGAACCCACGGAATCCGTCCCTTTCGGGCTGCGGCCCAGATCGCGGCACCCACCGAATCCTTCCCTTTCGGGCTGCGGCCCAGATCGCGGCACCCACCGAATCCTAATCCTCCCCTTTCATGCCGCGGCCCGGATTGCGGAACCCACGTGCCGCGGCCCAGATCGCGAAACCCTCGGAATCCTCCTCTTTCACACCACGGCCCTGATCGCGGAACCCTCAGAATCTTCCCCTTTCGCGCCGCGGCCCAGATCGCGAAACCCTCGGAATCTTCCCCTTTCGCGCCGCGGCCCTGATCGCGGAACCCTCGGAATCTTCCCCTTTCATGCCGCGGCCCT